TTTGGTTTTTTGCACATTGCACTTTACGTGTTGTTTGTCTGTTATATGTCATTTGTAGCACCAAGCTCTTGGAGGAATGTTGTCTCTTTCACTGTGTACTGGACAGTTCTTAAGAACAAACCTTTGGTTTCAGGTGAGGCTGCTTGCAGACATGCAGACCTTTAACATCTGCTGTCAGGTGTCTTCCTATACAGACTGCAGAGACAATACCAGCGCTAAAAACTGTGTAATCTCCAGTGTGAGGAAGAAACTGTGGCTCATTGTGTGATATTTAAGTCATTTAAGACATCGATTGGTTGAGTTGTAGATAAGTAGACGGCTGATTTGACCACAGACTGTGGTGAAATTAGCAACTACTGCAAACTCAAAAATAAAACCTGCCGGTGTACGTAAAGTGAAATACCTCAACGCTGCTGTCACTTTGCTGTTAACTTCCTCTATGGCTGGTTTGTTCTGGCTTTAGAAACCTGTGTGCTGTTGCTCATGCTTTGGGTATTACACAGCAACACGGTGCAGAACTCAGTGGATCAGCTGTGGTCTGGCACCGTGCAGCTCGAAGTCAGAAATGATATCCAACCCATCCATTCCTATTCAATCCCATGCTGGAAATGCCAATATTTTTGAATGAGGAGCCTTGTGATAAATCTGATCCTAGTTTTTAAGCCAATTTTTAAGGTGCTTCTGAATGTAGAGTGCAGGTAGATAATGTTTAAATACTGCTGAGCAACATTTTATTCATGGAAATGTTTGGTCAGTTTAAACCGTGATCGTCTTCCAACTGCAAATAACCTTATTTCTTATTATGGGTTAGGCTAAGTGGGAGCACTCTTAAGCACTTTTACTGTAACTCAGAGTATCTCTTATCTTAGTGAAGAGCACCGCAGCAGCAAAAAAGGGCAAAAATGAAAAGCTAGCTTTCAAAATAAAGTGATAGCACAACTAGAATAGTGAGTGGTGCTCCTGGATGGAATTACTGTGCAGGGCTGATCAAACCCTTGGAACACAGAAAGGTTTCCATTACTCAAGCCTGAGCCGACGGCTGCAGCTCTGCACTATGATATCAGATGGTAACTTACAAGGTTCCAATTTTGGACTTAAACAGGAAGTCAGACGCGAAACAATGTTTTACCTAAAACTGCCCACACATGCTTGTGATCTATTACCTCTCCTATCTGTGGTGTTGTGGTTGCTGCAAAAATGGATCAACACCCACCTACCATCGCTCTGTTAAAAAACCATGCAGGGATAAATTATAGTACAGTTACAAAGTGACAAGATACTAAGCAAAGGTATCTCATGCAAGTTGGGTGTTAGAAGAGGATTAGAAAACAGAGTGGGTGCTTTTGTGGAAGTGGTACTTTACGTTTAGAGTGTATCTGGCATTCATTCCCAGTTTAACTCACACTTTAACCCCCGATAGGCTGGAAGAAGACAGCAGGGTTAATTGTTTTTTGTTGTTTTT